TGCTTTTATTGTTGCAAATCGCGTTTGGAATTTTTCTATTATAAATTAGCGTTGCGATTGTTGATTTATCGCGTTGTTTGCCCCGTAGTGTTGCGACATTTAAAACATCTAACTTCATCCTCATATAAGCCACTGTAGTTAATAGTAGTTTGCAGTAGTTAGTCTATTTTATGCATGTGTATCTACATGTACCACAGAAGACATCAGCACAAGGTCCAGCAATTTTGGGCAAAACGCGATTTTAATTAGCGTTGCGAGACATAAATATAATATTTTCACTAAAGGTAGAGTTGCGAATACAAAATAATCGCGTTTGTTTGCAGAGTTGCGAGTTCCTATTTTTCGCGTTTCCTTTTCAGGGTAGCGTTGCGAATTCAATACGCGATTGCTGTTATTGTTATTTAAGAATAGTGTTGCGAATGCAGTGATCGGTTTGCTCTTAGCGTCGCGAATTACTATTTTTCGCGCTTGCTTTTCAGGGTAGCGTTGCGAATAATCACCATTCGCGGTTGCTTTCATTATTATAAATCGCGTTTGGAATTTTTCTATTATAAATTAGCGTTGCGATCTTGATTTATCGCGTTTTTATTAATTAGAGTTGCGATTCAATGCCCAAAATTTGACTCTGACCACTGCTTCAAGATCATTACGAAGAAGAAGCTATTCTACAAAGCCCCAGAGGGCTCAACGTTATTATCTAAATTAGTGTTGCGTATTATTGAATATGGGTGCACGCGATATAATTAATAAAGCAACCCCGCGTGGTTCATTTTTCGAACAATTAGCACCACTCGCGTATACTTTTGTATTTTATAAATTAGAGTCGCGAAAGAAACAATGGTCCACTCACGGGTTGTTTTTTTAATGAGTGGACGTTTAATTATGTGAAATATATCTTTTTTTTTATGAATGGAAATACTGCTTTAAAAGATTGTTGTATATAGACGAAATGTTTCATTTTTCTAAACGCGTAAAAATTTATACTTTTAACGAATACATTTTTGTCACAGATTTGTGATGCATGTAAAAATGATATATTATGATTAAATTGATCGTAGATTTAATTCAACCGTAATATTTGTTAATAAATAATGGATCTTTTTATAAATATACGGAATTCTTTGCATGAATTAAAGTTTGTCCGCGATCATTGTTTCAATCGATGTAAAATAAAATGCTTGCATCAAAAGGGTATGCAAATTGCAGTTCGATTTTTCATATTGAGAGTTAATTTCCGCGTAGAATCGACATCTTTCTTCGTTATTGGTTTTTTTCTATGAATTTAATTTAGTTTTTAGTACAGTAAAATATAATTATTGCAATACATACGTCTTATTATACCAGGAATGAAATTTATTTGGTATTTATCTTAACACTGAAATGAACTTAATGAAATTTTGTAATATCAATTTTTGCTCGTGGAAAATCTGATTCAATTATTAATTTTATAATATCATTTGTACTAGTACATCATTATTTCTTTTGTGTCCACTAATATATTTTTATTTCAGCTTACTAATCCTTTGAGTAAGTTCTTCTTACAGAGTATAGAAGCATAGATGAATAGAATATGAAATAATAAAGGGGAAGATTCAATATGAATTTGAAATAATTAATGGTCAAAATTACTAGAAGATATGGGATTCAAGCTTGATCGTTCTTAGAGAAGCAACTATTTTGTACAGTTATTTATTATCTGGTTTTATGTTTCAGGAAAACATCGTGGGATCAACAAAAACAAGAAACAGAAAATATCTTCTCGTATTTCTTCATTTTATGCGAGTTATATTTATTGTATATGAGTTTATGTTTCAGGAAAACATCGTGGGATCAACAAAAACAAGAAACAAAAAATATCTTCTTGTACTTCATGTTTCTGCAGATTGCGTTGCGTTAGAATTAAGTACAAATGTATATAGATTGTAAGATAAATATGCGTCTATTGCGATATCGTAATAAGTATTACAGAAAGAAAAACGTACGTTTAAGTAGGTACAATTACTATTAAAGTGCACATTGGTATTCTACTAAGCAAGGTTCATACGTGCAGTTGCACTTTCCTACTTCGTTTCTCAGTGTCTTGTGAGGCACTATCGAAGTACAATGTATCCATTTGAGTTGGAACAATTAATATCAATATGCATATTGGTATTTTAATAGTCTGGTTTCCTACGTGCTGTTGCACATTCATATTTCGTTTCCAGAAAACATGTGGTGGACTGTCTCACATGTATCGCGATTTTGTTAGTTTTTTTTGGTCTGTTCATCAGGCAACTCTTCAGTAAACTCTTCCTTTTCTCTGAGCTTTTCTCATAGGAGAAAATATCCAAGTCTGTTAATTAGGATTCCTCGCCAAAGGTTGGGTGGTTGGGGCGAGGCTAGGGGGGGTCTCCATTCGCAGCAACCTCCACGTGGTGAGACCTGGGTCATATTATTTACTATGTATTTAATTTTATCATTAATAATCATTAATTACATAGCAAATAATATGAGCTAATGGCTGCGATCTTCTTCTGATAGTTTCACATACGCTCTTCAGATCGTAGCAATCGTAAATTCGTTAACTCGGCAATGTTGCCTTAAAAGTAAAAGTAGAAAAGAATTTGTGGTTCACACACTCAAAAATAAATAAAATTGATTTGTATGGTATTTCTCTACTCAAATTTCAATTCATATTGCATAGTTTTCACATTAAAATATCCTAAAAATTGATTTACTTTGGGGAGAGGATTTTGAGAAACGTATTATAGAAAACATAGTGTTGGCTTCTGAGTATTTTCCTCATTTCTTTGTTTCGAAATCTGTTTTAGCAGTAATGACAAGTATAAGCGAGGCTCGCAAATATGTTTTCAACATTTGACCTTATCACAGATTAGTTTCTTTCTCTTCCCATCTTTAATTAAGTAAATGTGAAATTCGTCGGTTGGATTCAGTGGACACATGATATTGTATCCATCATTCTGAATTTGGTATTTTTAACATTTCGTATTCGTGATCAACGTCCTCAAAAATTTTCGAGTGGCAAGTTTTATGTGAATTCAATTGATTTTGAATATTAAGGAAACCTCTTTGCGATCCAACGTTACCAAATATGCTATAAGAGAACGTAGACGATTTGTTTTAATAAAACAGTAACTTCAAACGGTACATGTGCACTCAAACGATTTAATTCTGCTTCCAAACTTGTTTCTCTATCTTTAAACGTTTCAAAAGTGTGATTTTATAAGCCCAGTTTAAAAATAATTTTAAACAACTTAAGTAGCGCGTTTACGTTAATGTACTTTCGTACTAAACGCACATAATTTATGAACTTTTTTTATCTGAAATACATATATTCGTATATTTATATTTACACAATGGTGCAATCGTTGTCGGTTGGTTTTTGGGAAATGATACATCTGGCGCAAAAAATTTATGCGTAGTATCAAAAACGCGTCGAAATTATCACCAATCTGTTTGCACATGCAATCACGTTCTGCCAATCGTAAGACGAAACACAATTGCATTTTCGGTAACATAGACAAGACCTTTTCAGCCTGGTATATGTAGTATTTTAATATTTGACGAAGCCTCTTTTCGATATTAAGCATCGAAGCCTAAAGTATCTTATTATAATATTTAAATTAAATACATTATTCAAAATAGGTTTGATAATCTATAAGAGAAAAAACTTATGCAAACTTGTACAAAATCATCTAATCGAATTTTTATATATCACGGTTCCTTAATTTTGCAGCTTACCTGCTGCTCGTTAATTATAGGGAGTAATTAATATATTACTGTCGAGTGTGATAAAGTACCCTAAGTACGTGTTTGGTCGTGAATTGCGATTTTGTGAATTAATGTTGCGAATAATGAGGCAACTATTTGTTAATTTATTTGAATTGCTATACAATGAATTAATGTTGCAAATAAAATTACATCTATGATACAATTGGACGATGAACAGTATTCGGTAACAAAAATCTTGATGAATAAGTCTTTTCACGTGTGCGGTGCTGGTAAACGTTATATATAGCGATTTGCGAAAAGCTGATGGCATTAAATATATTGCTCTAGTTTTCTAATATTTATTTGGACAGTGTTTGTTCTAGAACGCTATGAACAAAACTGTCAGCATTTTATTTAAATGCTTTACTGATTAAAGTGTCACCTTGGTTATGTCTATGTTAAATAAATATTATAATTATATTATATATCTACTAGGTCAAATTTCAAGGTCACATAAATATTGTGAACAATATTCATGACGAAATTATATAGTAATATCGTGTTCCTTACAAGCGAGGTATCTAATGTAGTTGAATTTTTAGTACATTCAAAGAGGATATCGTATAAATGTAGTAGGAATATTGTTTTATTCTAATAAAATAGTACAATACCACAACGATGAAGCTAAGAAAGTAAGAAGGAAGTAAATATAAATAAAGTCACACGTTTCTAGAATTACGTTTTGAACGATGTATTGATACAGTTCGTTTCCATATGCCTGGTCAAATTAATTACAATCAATTAATCAAATTAATTGATAGAAAATTGGACAAGAAGTGTCTTTTGAATTAGCTGATAATACTCTGCCCTCGTTGCGATTTTTTCGAACATTATCGGTGCCTTTATTTGCCTAGGGGCACCATTTACATGCAAATAGTATTTATTTCTCGCTATCTGTGTCCATTATGATCCGATGTTATAACAACGGTATCTAAAAATCTCAGATACTGTGTGCAAGAAGTTGTCACATCATGTATCGGTTTTTTATTGCTATTTACTAAGTGATAAATTAACAGATAAGATGCATTACTGTATGGTGTACCGAAAAAGAAATACTGTTTTATTTCTGTATTCTTTGTTTTTCTTCAAACGTCGCCCTCGTTTTTGTTTTAACAACTGCTGCGGAATTATTGGTATTAACTATGCAAATCTTTTAGATATGGATATCGGTTTGTTGCGAGGAACTCAATAAAAGGCTGACTCTTAATGGTTCATGCTTAGTTCCGAAACAAGCGCCATGAAGTTATCAGCCGTTCTAGTTTTTCTGACGGTCGTGAGTAGTTCTCAGGCACGATCACCGCGGGTCGAGACATCTTCAGGAGGTATAGTTGGTTACGTTAAGAAGTCTCGTTCAGGTAGGGAGTATGCAGCTTTCGAAGGTGTTCCTTACGCACAGCCTCCTCTTGGAAAACTTCGGTTTCTAGTACGTTAAAAACTTTCCTACGTAATAACAGTGGCGAACTATTGAAATGCAATGTAAAAATACAATTTCGATAATTCAAAGTATCGACTGGAGGTATGTAGTGTTGCTGGATTTAACATAGAAGGCTGTTTAATTTTTATTTATATTTATTTTCAAAACTTTTTAACTTTCGAATATAAAATTTGGGTACGCGTGTCATGGGTTCGCCACTTTTGATTTACGAAGAGTATTTAGAGAAAACAAGAAATATCTATATTTCGATTATAATAAATTCTATCTGCATACAAATTTTACCCATCTGTAGTGTATAGTATTATTGAAAAAAAATTTAAAAGACGCACATTATTTGTTAAGACTTATTTTCAATATTTGAGGTTCGAGTAAAAATGAAGGTTTACCGACGTAGAAAGTTCCTTTCGAGGAACTATCACAGCGGTATTTTTATCTGTAATTACTATATTGAAAACTGTTCTTTTTACTTCCATTTTATTTTAATATCCTCAAGCAAGCAGATAGTCCGGTGTTCCGTTTGCACATTATTTTTTTTTGTTTTCTTTCGGATAGTCTTCGTACGAGACATTGTTCGTTGATAATATATCTTCTATACGTTTTCCGTGAACTCGTAGCCACCGAAACCTGTCCTGAAATGGATCCAGGATCTTCCAGCAACGAAGAAGAGTCAGGTTTGCACGCAATACCTCATGTCTCCGGTAAAGGGAGACAGGGTCATAGGTTGCGAGGATTGTTTGTACATGAACATTTACGTACCAACTATAAAGGACAAAAAAAAATTGTTGCCAGTGATGTTTTGGATCCACGGTGGAGCTTTCCAGTTCGCTAGTGGAAACGAGGCGGACGAGACGCTTTTGATGGATCGTGATGTTATATTGGTCACGATCAATTATCGTTTAGGACCTTTCGGTAAGAATACTGGTCGTCGAGGATTCGAATAATTCGTTGTCTTGAAAGTCCAACTTGTTACAAGGCATTTGAAAATTGTATTTAAGGTTTCCTTAGCACGGGAGACCGTGTGCTACCCGGAAACATGGGACTGAAAGATCAGAGTATGGCTTTGCGATGGGTGTCGAACAATATTCATTCCTTCGGTGGCAATTCCAAAGAAATCACACTCTTTGGCATGAGTGCTGGCGGTTCAAGCGTGCACTATCATTATTTATCGCCATTAAGTGCTGGACTATTCCAACGTACGTTGCCACTGCAAGTTTCAAATATTCTATTTTAGAGTACATCGTTCTTGTTGTACATCATTTTTGTCGGGTAGGTGGCATATCGATAAGTGGTGTAGCACTCGATTGCTGGGCTCAGCCGAAACATGTTCAGGAAAAAGCTTTAAAACTGGGTGCTCTGATGGGATGTCCCACAAACAATCTAAGTAAAATGATCGAATGTTTACGAGAACGTCCAGCCCGACTTATTTCTCAAGCTGTTGGCGATTTCATGGTAGAATTGGCATTATTTTTACTCTTTATATTTTGTATGTACAGGATGTCAAAGAAAGGGGTTCGGAAATCTACTTATCTTATTTTATCATTATTATTGTTATATTTTAAATTCTTTTCTTAAATATCCTGTATACTATCGCGAGGACAATCGAGAAGTTTTTCGTTTCATTGTCTCTGACATAATTTCAAATACTAGTATTGGCTATACAATCCATTCACTCCGTTCGGGCCAGTCATCGAGAGGCAAAAGTGTCCTCGTCCGTTTATTAATAAATCACCGATCGAGATCATTGCTAGAGGCGAAGCGTTAGACGTTCCGTGGATTGCAGGAGTCGTTGAAGACGAGGGATTATATACTGCTGCAGGTTCGATATCACGCGACGAACGTTTTTATCCTTATCTTTGTTCTTTCGTTAAATGTTAATCGTATTCGTGCAGAATTTGTCGCCAACGAGGAACTTCTGGAAGAGTTGAACGTGAAATGGGATAACATATCACCATTTTTGCTCGACTTTAACTATACCATTCCGCTCGAAGAACATAAAACTGTGTCTGAGATGATTCGGAAGCATTATCTCGGATCTGATAACATTTGCAGCAAAACGTCAGCCGCGGTGGTACAGATGATGAGCGATCGGTTGTTTAAGCTCGACTATGCAAAAGCAGTTCGTTTGCAGGCGGAAATGCACAAAAGTCCGGTTTGGACCTATTTGTACTCGTACAGGGCTCAGCACAGTCTTAGCGACCGCTTAAGCGGCACCACTAAAAATTTCGGTAATTTTTTTTAGATTCGGTTTCGCGTAACATTACAAAAGTTTAGAGATATTAACGAGTTTCTTGTATCAGGTGTCAGCCATGGCGACGACATATTTCTCATTCTTGATTCGACGATAGATAACACTTCGAATTTTGTGGATAAAGAAATGCAGAAGATTCTGCTTGACTTTTACACGTCGTTTGCTATCGAGGGGTAAGTGCAATAAATTGCAATCCGAAGGTAGACGATTCTTTTTGAAATAATCGAATTCAGATTGTACATTGTTTCCTTGTGGGCTGTAACGCGAATTATTAGACTGTGCATTATGGTTGTAAACATTTTTAGGACACCGAAGATCGGTAAAGTCGAATGGAAGAAACTGGTCGGCAACGAAAAAGCGTTTTCTTACTTGCATATAAAAAATCCAAGTGAACTGGTCATGGCCAGCGACAACGACTTTGCGCAGAAGAAGTTTTGGTCCACGATTAAATTCAACGAGAATAAACTGTCCAAATCATTAACTACTGAGGTTCGAGATAAAATAAACGGAAAATAGCTGTTTATTGTGATTAACCATTTCTGACAAGTAGCAAAGAAACGAATAAAAATTGAAATTTCATATTCCTTTAACGAGATAGTAAATATTTAATAACGATACAGAGGGTATATGATTTACAATAACAGACTATAATCTCTTGTTCATACAGAATGGATGACAAATCTGTTGTATTTAATTAAACCTTCCTTTTTGCGGTTACATAATATCAGATACATTATCAGTTAAATGATTACTTTACTAATTTTCTATCGATATACGACATGCCAGACTTAGTTGAAATAATAAATATTCAGTAGGATATTTCATTTTTAACATTTCATTGAAGTTGTTTTGCAGAGTTCGTTCAAGTAATAACGAAAAAAAATGTATTTATCATCGATAGTTTAAACAATAAAGCAGAATATGTATAGACAAAAATCACGAATGTTATTCATCGTTAGTGTAAGACTATTTTTGTGCAAATTTTCCCTTTATTAAATCTTTTATGCAAATCGCAGGAATAAAGTCGTGTTTGAATAATTACTTTGATAAGAATTGACTCGACTAATATTTATTCGCGAATGACTCAACGGTCCCGAATTACACGCTTTTTTTCGTGGAAGGAAAATGATAATTGGAACAAGTCGAGGCTTGACATACAAAATCGTTTATTCATATAAAAGGACACTTTATACTAGCACGTACTGTCAAAAAACTAGCCTACTTCCGTACAGTCGGGACAACCGAGATTTTCCCGGCTCGCTCGTTTCTTTATGTATCACATATTATTATACGCGGCAAACGATAACGGGTTATGCTGAGAATAAGGGTAATAATTGTCATTGTGGTCGTAGGTCGTGTATGAAAAAAAATAAAAAAAAATATCCGAAGAAGTTCATCACGAGCATTGAGTATATTCGCGTACTGAGCGCCATGTTCGATTTCGCTATTCACAGCATGATCAATTTTAATCCACTCAGCTCTCCTTTCCCGTTGATCATTAAATTATTAGCCGAAGGACACTGCTGCAACGCGCGAACGGTTGCTCTCGAAGACTATTGGCACCAGATAAAAATTGGTCATTCTGTGCATAAATATCATGCGTTTATGTATATATATAAAAAATCGCGCGGATCGTCGTGTTGGTACGAAAACGCGTCCGTCGATCGTAAATCGTCCGAACGACGGGAAGATTTCACCAACACTGTGAGCCCCCGCCATCGTTATTAATTACATGCATCATCCTATGTATTCACCATAATTAATATATCTTACGTTAGAGTTACATGTATATCATATAAACGTACCGTCGTGTAACATTCGATACTCATTACTTTCAATACACTATCGCTATGAGTGATGTGGTTATTAAGATAAATACTAGGCTCGACTAATTACTAGCATTGTTAGCTTGGGAAGAATCGATTCGACTGCGGGAAGTACCGAATCACGATCAATCGATCGAGCAGCGAGCGTTACTTTCGACGCGGATCAGCGAAGCGATCGCGTTTCGATCGCGAGGTTGGTAACTTGAATTACGGACAAGATCGTTTTGATAGATTCGAGGAAACTATTAGTTTGTGCGTTTTGCAAAGAGATACGGTATATACTGACTCTTTTCTCTCGACCGAACTATGTTTGGGGATGTGAAATATACAAACGTCGGTTGGTCCGGGCGTTCAAGGGATAGAAACTGGCTGAGTTTAATGGTAGAAAGTAGGCTATAAATGCTGAAGACGCGTGTCAGGAATGTCTATCGGTCGAACGGCTCGGATCATCAACCGACTCGATTGGCTGAATCGATCGATTCGCGTGGTCACGGGTTGCGTTAAGAATTAAATACTCTCTAACGATTGCTTTAGGCCTAACCTGAACAGCGAAACGATTAACATGTCAGACGAGAAATACACCACTGGACACGCGCGATACTTACGTTTCGCGACAGTTTTTCTTTAAGTTTCACGAAACAAAGAGCGAAAGCGTGTTCCATACGTTCTTCAACTTTATTATCGACGTTATTAAAATATTTCTTCTTTGAAAACAGCGATGGTAATTATTATGGCCACTTGTATCACGATCGAGTGGGTGACCGATCGATCTGTTCTTTTTCATATTGACAAGAGTTTCCTTTCTCGTTTACAATTTCATTGCGTGTAGTTTTATTGCGTAGAACACATTCGTTTGATCGAACGCGTTCCCGTCAATTTTCATCCGTAAATACGAGGTCGATCGACGGAACGCGCTTTACAATGGGATTCGCGGGTTACTGATATCAGGAAGACAGTGTTTGGACTTGTCATCTTCATCCGATTATAAATACAGACAGTATGCGCAGTATTTTGTGCGACGATAATAGCGTTCAATTCTATTACACCTAAAGAGTGTCGACGAGGTTCCGGAGTCTCAAAGCGTGACGTTCGTGTCCCGCGTTCGACTCCACCCTTTTGCGCGCTTCACGCGAACACTATTGCGAACAAACCACGACGACGTCCCGTCGTTTGTCAGAAAGAGAGATTTATCAAAGTAATTGACTGTTCACCGATATATCGCGGTGGAGGGGCGGCGGGACCGAGCAGAGCAAAGCACGCTTTCCGAAGATTTACAATGATATAATCACGCGACACTTTGAGACTAGAGGAACGACGGACGATCATTTGCCGTAAATAATTATACTTTCGTACAAACGTATAGAACATCGTTAAGTATTATTATTAGGAGGGTACAGTGCATATAAAGAATCGTATAAATGTATATATATTTATATTTATATATATATATTTTTTTGTATATATATATATAATGAGGCCAGCTCGCCGGAGAAGCAAATTCGCAATCGGTCCTCCGCGCGAGCCGCTGTTTGAGCTTTGAGATACGCGTACCTTTCGTCGTGTCTTTCTTTAATCTTTTAAACACATAAATGTACCATGCACACACACGTACACACACGCGAACGCACGCACGCACGCACGTGCGCGCACACTCGAACGCGAATCGTTTATTGCACCGGGGTTCGTTCGCTCGTCGATAAGAACCCGAGATTACTCGTGTTTGTTGCGCTCGCGAAGGCAGGAAGACGGCTGTAAAACTTGCGGATTTCGAGTGCGTAGACAAAAATAAAATATTTGAAAGAAAGATTGCATTGTTTGTCGCGGTTTTGTTGTCCCGATCGCGTTCGAGCACGCGTGAACGTCAGCAAACGTGAGTAAATGTGGACTGATCGTTTGGCGCACGACACGTGCCAGCCAAAAAAAACGATCCGGGTCTACCTTGATCGTGCAGCGGATTACCCGTCTATAGATCATTGTTGTTCGAGTCTCTACAGTGGTATCGCAAGAGCGACACGTTCTCGCAGGCGGTTCTTATCGAGGGAGCTTGATCCTCGATCGCTGTTACAATGCCACTGTACAAGAAATCGTTCGACGCTTACCAAATCATGCGTTTTTCGTTTTCTTTTTTTGTTTATTTATTTTTTTCTTTTTTTTTGGTTACGTTTTTGCCGAAACGCGATTATCATTTGTTTCCCGTCACCATATTTTTAGACCTAACGACGATCGATTCCCCGAGGCTGTCACTCGAACGACGATGATCGTCGCGCGGCTATGATCAAGCGCCGCTTGGCTGCCACGGAACGAAAGTAGTGCCGCTGTTGTCAGCACTGACGAAGGCACAGTCATAAGTCTCGTACGTTCGGCAATATCTTTCATTTTTTTTTTCCTTTTTCACCATAACCATCGTTTACTCGCAAAAAATGGCGTGAGACGTGGAACTATCACGAAGTATCGTCCACTCTCCCATTCCCGTTCCACCGGTTTGCTTCATTTCCGTTTCACGTTTGGCACCAGAAACGAGCCTTACTTTTTACGTAGCTAAATCCCATTTTTAGTCCCTTTCGTTTTCATCTTATCCTCTACTACTCTCGCTCTCGTTCTCTCTCTCTCTCTCTCTCTCTCTCATTTTTTGTATATAACATAATATAATATTATAATATAAACGTTTACGTTTTGGCCACTCAGTTCGTGATCGCCGAAGCACATTATTGTCTGTGTTTCGCGACATTTAGATAGTTTAGAATATTTTTAAATTCACTTTTATACAACACTGATCCTCCTCTAGACTTCTTCCTCGTATGTACGATTCTTTGCCGGATCACCGGGGTCGTGTTGGCCGGCTCATCTCCTCCTTCTGGCTGTGGCTGCTGCGATCATCTGCCTCAGCATTGGCTCTGGACTGCACACCCTGGGGTCGCATTTCATGTTACCGTCGCCTCCGCAGCTGAAATTCCAAACCATTCGTTTAAATTCATCTGTCGCGTGCATTCCCTGAAAAGCAATCGCTACGACGCGTAAACCTCGCGACACACTCGACTTTCATTTCCACCGGAAGATAGACTCTCTGTTAAGTTTTACTTACGTGCATTGAAGACAAGGTCCCGACGCGGACCTAATGACTTCTCCAACGCGGTACGCTTGGCCGCGGATTTGGCAGCCGCTTCGTTTCGCGGCACCTTTGTACGCGTGGGCGTGGAAGTGCGGCGGTAACGTGGTCGTGGTCGTCGTCGTGGTCGTGGTTATGTTGAGCGACGTGGCCATCGATACCGGGCACTCGTATCTAGGACAACAGAAACCGCTGATCGGTTCCTCGTGGCAGCCCGGAATCGGTGGCGGGCAGCTCTGCTGAAGACAGATGATGTCGCTTCTGAAGCAGAAGCAGAAGTCGCACGGATCGTCCCTCGGTATCTGTTGAGCGGACACGTAAACCTTGCCCCCGTATCTGCAAGTGCCTGGCCCGTAGATAGCCTGATCGTCTTCGTCGTAGTCCTCCCCGGACACGGACTGATCGGGATACTCGGGTATCTGTGGAGCTAGAGTGCTCGTGGATCCTTTGTGATAGCCAGGTTGTTCGGCTGTTCCGTACGTGTCGTTTACTGGCTGAAGAGGCTCCTCGACCTCACCCTCGACAGGTTCCACCTTCTCGGTAGTCGAAGCAGATTCTGGTAACGTTGGTTCACCGTGATGCGGCAAACCTTCTTCTCCTTCCTCCGGTTCTTCCACCGACGGTTCCGTTGGAAGCGCTTCTTCGGTTTTCGTGGCTTGTTCCTCTGCAGGTGCTTCGGTTACCTGTTGACCTTCTCCAGGTGCCATCGATACACCTTCCTCTTTATGTTCTTCAGGAATTACTGGTTCTACGGTACTCTTTTCTTGAGGCTGTTCCGTCGATGCCTTGGTCGTGTACTCTTCGGGCGTTGTCTCGACTTCTGGACGTTTCTCTATTCCGGCTTCTGTCGATGCTTCGGGCGCCGATTCCGTCGAAGGTTGAGTCTCTTCCGATGGTCGGCTCGGTAGAGTCGTCTTTGTTGGAAGTTCCTGCTCCTCAGGCGCAATCGGAGTTTCCGTGGATTCGGCCAAAGAAGGTTGTTCGTGAGAACTAGTCGCTTCAATTTCAGGCGCGGATGTACTTGGCTGTGCTAATTCTTCTTCGCTGATCATTGGAGCTTTGGTCGATTTTTCTTCAACTTGAGGAGGCTCGGTTGCACTTGGTGTAGCTTCTTTGAGTACTATACTTTCTGTAGTTTGCGGAGTTTCTACTTCTTCTTCGGGTAGCGATGTTTGTTGCTCACCTTCCACAGGTTTCTCTTCTTCGGGAAGACCCTCTGTTACTTCGACAGGCTTCTCTTCTGGAAGAACTTTCTCTGTAACTTCGGCAGGCTTCTCTTCTTCAGGGAGAACTTTCTCGGTTACAGAAGGCATCTCTTCTTCAGGAAGAGCTTTCTCTGTAACTTCGGCAGGCTTCTCTTCTTCAGGGAGAACTTTCTCGGTTACAGAAGGCATCTCTTCTTCAGGAAGAACTTTCTCTGTTACAGAGGGCACCTCTTCTTCGGGAAGAACTTTCTCCGTTACAGAAGGCACCTCTTCCTGAGGGAGAACTTTCTCCGTTACAGAAGGCATCTCTTCCTCAGGAAGAACTTTCTCCGTTACAGAAGGCACCTGTTCCTCAGGGAGAACTTTCTCCGTTACAGAAGGCATCTCTTCCTCAGGAAGAACTTTCTCCGTTGTAGAAGGCACCTGTTCCTCAGGGAGAACTTTCTCCGTTACAGAAGGAATTTCTTCTTCAGGAAGACCTTTCTCCGTTACAGAAGGAATTTCTTCTTCAGGAAGACCTTTCTCCGTTACAGAAGGAATTTCTTCTTCAGGAAGAACTTTCTCAGGTACTTCTGTAGACTTCTCTTCTTCAGAAATATCCTTTTCGGGCATTTTGCCAGGAAGAATATGTTCAGGAATTTCACTTGGAAGCTCTGTAGTAGTTGCTTTTTCTGGCACTTGAGATGGAAGCTCTTTCTCTGGAACTTCTTCGACAGGAGTTACAGTCTCAGGAATTTCTTCAGCAGGAGTTACTTTCTCAGGAACTTCAGTGGTCAGTTCTTTCTCAGGGGTTTCGACTGGAATTTCTTTCTCTGGTGCTACTGGTACAGGAAGCTCTTTTTCTGGAACATCCGTAACAGGAGCTATTTTTTCAGGAACATCGGTAGTTTTTACAGGCACCTCGGTTGGAAGTACTTTTTCTGGCACTTCAGGAAGCTCTGGTTTCGGTGCTTCGCTAGGAAGTATTTTCTCCGGTACTTCGGTTGGACTGACTTCAGCTGGTATCTTAGATACAGGTTCAACCGTTTCCTCAGTCTCTACTGCTGGAGTCGTTTGAACTTCAACTTCTCCTTTCTCTTCTTGCATCGGTGGCTGTACTGTTTCTTTTTCCAGAGACGGTTCTTCGGTTTGTTGCGTTGTTCCTGGCATGCCATCCTCCAATGGTTTCTCTCCCATCGATGGCTCTTCGGATACGCCTTCACCTTCCACGCCAGGTTTCTGTTCTTCCGTTTCTTTCTGAGGTATGACTGAGGTACTTTGAGGTATTGACGTTGAACTGACTTCAACGGCTGGCGTACTTGATTCACCAGGTTGTTCTTCGCCTGCTGCAGTAACTTCTTCGCCTTGTGGAGCAATCTTGGTTGGTTCCGTAGATGCGATACCCTCTTCTACGCTCGGTTTCTGAGTTTCTTCTTCAGGTTTCTGCTCTTCCACGGTAACAGCTGGTACAGTACTTACTTCTTCGGTTGGTATTATCGGTTCTTCCGTTCCTTCCTTCAAAGAAATATCAGGCTCCTCCGTCATTTGTTCTTGTTTCTCCGTTACTTGTTCTGGAATCGTTGGTTTTGGAGCTTCGTGTTCGCTTGGTGTTGTACTTTCAGACACTTCGCCTTCGATCGGAGCAGTCGATGATTCGGTTGTTGGTTGCTCTTTTGGTTGTTCCTTAACGCTTACGGTAACAGATTCTTCTGTAGAAGGTATCGGTGATTCCTTTTCAGTCGCAGGTTGCTCAGCTTCTTCGGGTAGAGTTGATTCTGAAACCGATTTTACGCTAGTCGCTTCAGGCGTTGCTTCCGTGATTTCTTCTTGAGGAGTTACGGACGGTGTAGCTTCTTCTTCGGTGGGCGAAACAGATTCAGGAGTTTGTTCTTCAGGTGGAGCGCCTTCCTCGGGCTTCATTTCAACCGGAGTTTTCTCGCTAACTTTCTCTTGCTCGGTTGTTTCTTTGGGTTCAGAAGATATCGTTGGTAGTTCGGTGCTAGTTTCAGATATTTCGGTAGAGCTTGGTAATTGTTCCTCTGGCAGTTTTTCGGGTTGCTGCGTAGAGAGTTCAGTGGGCCTTTCAACGCCTTCTGTAGTTGCCTTCACCTCACCTTCTACCGCAGGTGTTTCTTTGGTTTGTTCCTCAACTACAGAAGTAGGCGTCGAAGGTTCAGTTTCGACTGGTACTGTTTGTTCTTCTTCGGGAGAAAGTGGTTGTTTGGTAGTTGGCTCACCTTCGCTGGATGGCGTCGTTTCTTCTTTCACTACTGCTTCGGTACCAGTTGGTTCTTCTTTACTTATGCCAGGAACAGTTGCTTCTTCCGATACCGGAGCTTCCGTAGAGCCTTCCATTTCTGGTGTTGCAGGCGCTCCGCCTTCCGTAGGTTGAATGGCTTCCTGTTCTACCGGAGTAACTTTGGGTTCATCGCCAGCTTTGACACTCGGTTCCGAAGTAGACACTTCTACAGCGGGAGACGATGGTCCTTCGGTCTCTGCCTCGCTCGGTTCAACAGTCTGCAATTCGCTTTCAGGCGTCGATTGTTCAGGTTGCGTGGGCTGTACTTCTACGCTGGCAGTGGTCTCTTCTTCTATCGGTTTCTGACTTTCAGTAACCGATGGAGGTTGACCTTCCGATACTGGAAGCTCTGGCATCATGGACGAACTTGGTACTTCAGGTTCTTTGCCCGCACCTTCTTCTGGAATTGCAGGAGAAACAGTTGCTTCGGGTTCACCCATCACAGGTTTCTGCGTTTCTTCCGATGGCTCTTCTTCCACGGATTTCATCGTAGCGGGAGCAGCTTCTTTTTCAATTCCCATAGACGTTTGTTCCACTTGGATCGACTCCGTCGTCACAACTGTTTGTTCCTCGCCGGTGGCTGGACTCGAAGTTTGCTCCTCAGGCGTCTGCCCTTCGATCGGTTGTTCGGTAGACGGAATATTAGTTACTTCCTGTTCTTCCACGCCCTTTTCCGATGTACTGGGTACTTCTGGAGTTTCTTTCGGTTCCTCGGAAGGAGCTTGACTGGAGGACTCTACTGGAGGTACCGAAACGACAGTATGTTCTTCAGGTTCCTTGGTCGATTCTGCAGCCGTTGTCGGTTGTACGTGTTCGGGTTCAACAGGCTTCGGTGTCGTTTCGGTGAAACCAGGCACAGTAGTCTGTCCGTATTCCTTAACACCTTGAACAGGTTCTTTCGTGGACTCTAGAACCGGAGTTTCGGAAACTGTAGGCGTTACCGTCTTCTGTTCTTCTTCCTCTGTCTCGTATTTAGGCGTTTCGTGTTCGATCATATGGTTATCGGATTCTAATACCGCTGTAGGAGTCGAGTCGCACGTGTACATCGGACAACAGGAATCTTTGCTCGTGTGTACAGGCATACAATTCGATAGATGACTCGGAGGTGGCGGACACTGGACAAGTTCGCACTGAACGATACTGCTGATGCAACGGCACTGGAGTTGACAGGGATTCACTGGAGGAATAGCGGAGTTGTTGTAGTAAGATTGTCCTTCGATGAGACAGTTGCCTTCTCCTGGAATTGCAGGTGGTGCATGATCCGGATACTTGGATGTTGTTTCCTCTTCCGGTGTTACTCCAGGCGTCGAAGGTTGTTCGAATTCTTGTTCGGTTGTTATCTTCGGCGGTACTTCTTCCGCGTACGGCGTAGATTCTGGTATTTCTTTCTCCTTGGTGGGTTCTGCAGTCGACAATTCGGGTACTCTTTCTGGCGTAACTGGAACTTCTGTTTCTTTTACTAACGGAATTTCTGTCATAGCTGCTTCTTTCGATGGAGTTGCTTCTGTCTGAACTTCTTCGGGAAGCGAAACTTTCTGTTCCTCTTCCGGCAACGCCGTTTCTACGGAAGATGCGGTGAACGCTTCTGAAACTGCAGATTCAGTGGAAGACACTTCAGGCACTTCAGTACTGACACCTTTTTCTACTGGTTTACCTTCCTGTTCGCTCGTTACTTCAGTCGGGATTGCTTGCGTTGAGGTTTCAGTTTGAACTGCTTCCGTGGATGCTTCGGGTAGAACCGCTTGTGTGGATGCTTCGGACGATACTTCTGGTTTCTGAGTGCTTTCTGGTAATTTTTCTTCCTCAACAGGCTGTTCTGGAGCCAGTTTAGAAGGCTCAGTTGTTATTTCTTCAGCGGGAACCTCTGTTTGCTTCTCTTCAGGTACAGGAGCTTCCGTGGATGGAATTTCTTCACCAGCAATCGTCGTAGAAACGTGTGGAGTTTCTTTTACAATTTCAGTCGTCGCTTCGGGTTCTCCTTTAACTCCAATTGTAGTTTCACCTAAACTAGGAACTTCCGTAGGCACAGATTCGGCACCTTCGGTTGGTTTCTCTTCAACCATTGGACCTTCCGTGGAAATTTCTTCCGAAACTGGAACTTGACTCACACTTTCTTGAACAGGAGTGACTTCGCTTGGTTTTTCTTCTTCCACAGATTTTTCGGTTGGCTTTTCCTCCTCGACAGGCCTTTCGGTCGGAGCTTCAGATGGTTTTTGTTCCTCGGTAGGTCCTTCGGTTGTCTTCTCTTCCTCAACTGTAGTCTTCTTTTCCTCTTCAATAGGCTTTTCTGTTGGGGCCATCTCAGTAGACTTTTCACCCTCTGATGGTTTCTCTTCTTCTACAGGCTTTTCGGTTAGCCCTTCTTTTTCAGTAGGTTTCTGTTCTTCAATAGATTCTTCAGTCGGTTTCTCCACTTCTACAGGTGCTTCGGTCGGTCCTTCTTTTTCAGTAGGCTTTTGTTCTTCAACAGATTCTTCAGTTGGTTTCTCCACTTCCACAGGCGTCTCAGTAGGCTTCTGTTCTTCAATAGATTCTTCAGTTGGTTTCTCCACTTCTACAGGCGCCTCGGTTGCTCCTTCTTTTTCAGTAGGCTTTTGTTCTTCAATAGATTCTTCTGTTGGTTTTTCCTCTTCTACAGGTGCTTCGGTGGGTTCTTCTTTCTCAATAGGTTTCATTTCTTCCATGGTTCCTTCAGTCGGTTTCTCTTCTTCTACAGGCGCTTCAGTTGGTCCTTCTTTTTCAACAGGCTGTTCAGTTGGTTTCTCCTCCTCTGCAGGCTTTTCAGTTACTCCTGCCTCTTCGATAGGCTTTTCTCCTTCAGTTGGTCCTTCAGTTGGCTTTTCTTCCTCAACAGGTTTCTCCTCTTCCATAGGTTCTGCAGTTGATTTTTCTTCTTCCATTGGACTTTCAGTTGGTTTCTTCTCCTCAGCAGGTTTTTCTTCTTCACTAGGCTGCGTTGGTTTCTCCTCTTCACTAGGTCTTTCGGTTACCATCTCCTCTTCTTCAACAGATTTTTCCGTCGGCAGTTTTCCCTCAGCAGGTTTTGCTTCTTCAGTAGGTTCTTCGGTCGGCTTCTCCTCCTCCTCAGTTGGTTTTTGCTCTTCAACAGGTCCTTCCGTTGGTTTTTCTTCTTCGCTGGGCCCTTCAGTTGGTTTTCCTTCCTCGGAAGGTTTCTCTTCTTCGCTAGGTCCTTCAGTTGGTTTTTCTCCCTCGGTAGGCTTCTCCTCTTCAACGGGCCTTTCAGTTATTTCTTCTTCGATAGGCATCTCGGTTGGCTTTTCCTCCGTAACAGGTTTTCCTTCTTCAGTAGGCATTTCAGTTGGTTTCTCCTCTTCAACAGGTTTTTCTTCCTCCGTAGGTTTCTTTTCTTCTAAAGGACTTTCAGTCTCCTGTTCTTCCTCGACTGGTTTTTGCTCTTCAGTAGGTCCTTCCGTAGGCTTTTCTACCTCAACAGGCTCCTCGCTAACTCCCTCAGTTGGCTTTTCTTCTTCGACAGGTTCTTCCTTTTCAATGGGTCTTTCAGTGAACTCTTCTCCTTCGATCGGTTTCGTTTCTTCGGTTGGTTTTTCCTCTTCCTCGACCGGTTTTTCAATCGGTTTCTCTTCCTTCTCGGCAGTTGTTGTTACTGCTTCCTCTTCCGTAGGCTTTTCAGTTGGCGTCTCTTCTTCAAGAGATGGTTTCTGAGTGCCTTCCATTTCCTCTGGTTGTTTTTCTACGCCCATCTTATCTTCTTTACGCTCGGAAATAGGAGGCTTGGTTGGCTTATGTTCTTCAAGCGGAGCCTGAGTTCCTTCTTTCTCCAATTCTGCTTCAGTGATCGATTCTTCGGTCGATGGTAATTCAGCGATAGGTCCTCCGGTTTGAGCTTCCTCCTTCATTGGAATCGGTTCTTCGGTCTTCTGTTCTTCCGGAGCCATTTCGGTAGATGCTTCTTTGGTTATTGGTACTTCAGTCTGTTCGATAGCAGGTTGCTCTGTAGATTCTGTTTCTTCGGGCTTCGTTTCCTCGACTGGAACTACCGTTGGGTGAACTTCTACCATTAAAGAACCTTCTGTTGGTTTCTCACTCTCTGCTGTTTCTGGAGTTACTGGAGCTCCTTCGGTTTTCGGAACGGTTACTTCCTTTATAATTTCTTCCGTAACAGGCTTTTCGCTCGTCTCACCTTCGCCAACAGGCATTTCCGGCGTGCTTTCCTCTTCAACTTCTGGTGTCTTAGCGGTAGACGGAGCTTCTTCCTCGCCTGAAATTGGTTTCTGAGTCACTTGTTCTTCAGGTGCTTCGGGACTAGGTTTCTCGCTTGGCAACTCTTCTTCTGGTGCAGCTGTAGCTTGTTCCATAGGCGTCTCTTCTTCAGGCGTAGGTTTCTGTTCTGGAACAGGACTAACTTCTGTAGGTTCTTCTTCAACCTGCGGAGCTTCGGTCGACTGTGCCACGGTAACACTTTCGGTTGTTAACTCTTTACTCTCTGTACTTTGTTCTTCCACAGCTGGCTGTTCCGTTGGATGTTCTTCGACGCTAGGTGGCTGACCCGGTGCCTCAGAGGGTTCCATTCCTTCCTCGGTCGATTCTTCTTTAGGCACTGTTTCCTCGCTGGAATCGCTGACTTCCTCGGACGAAGTTTCACCGGATTCGTCAATGGTAAGTCCCTTCGTTGGCAACTCTTCTTCAATGGAAACTTCTTTCGACGGCGGAACTTCGGAAGACGATGACTCGGTGACATGTTCCTCTGGTAAACTAGGTTTCTCAGTCTGTTGAGTTTGTTCCTGCGGAATCTGCTGCGTAGACGTTGAAATCTCCAGACCTGGACTAACTTCTGTACTTTCAGGAACGCCTTCGGTCACTTCTGGTTGAACGACAGGGATCTGACCCATCTCAGTGACGGACGGAACGCCTTCGACCGGAGCTTCCGTAACAGAAGGCTCTTCTGGTAAGTGTGCTGCAACTGTCGTAGCTTCCTCAACTGATACTGCCTCTTCTTTTCTAGGAGCGACCGTTGTTTCCGACGAAGGTGGAAGATACGTGGTGGGAACTTTCTCCGGAGCCTCGGTTACAAGACTGCCAGGTACGTGGAAGTCGTGTGGTTTCATATCAACGTAGCCTTGCGTTACGTGGATTGGTTCAGTCACTGCTTCTTTATCCTCTGCTTTGCTTTCAGGTACGCGATCAGTGGCAGGAATGCCGGCTGGACCCCGTTCTGGAACTTCAGGAGCTTCTTCCTCTTCAAGATGCTTCTCCGTTACCACAGGTTCCTCCATACCCATTGGCTCTTCCGTAGGTATCGTGTCGTCCTTCTTAGGCACTATTCCAGGCAGTTTTTCGGGCATCTTGTGATCGTATACCTCCAATTCTGGTTTTCTTTCAGGTTCACCTTCCGTAGACGCTGGTTCCTCGCCATGCTCGGGAGTCGTTGCTTCGGTGGGTTGCTCTTCCGCTGGGCTAACCGGTGTTTCCTTCTCTACTTCCTCGCCAGGAATTTGTTCCGTGCTTGGAACTTCGGACACAGGTTTCCCAGTAACCATTTCTGCCTCAGTAGTAACTTCCTCTGGCTTTCCTTCGACCGATTCCGTCGTGACTTTCTGTTCCGGTTCCGAAACCATCGCAGGAGTTTCCGTTCCCTTGGCTGGCTCCGTCACTTGTTCCTCGCCTAAGCTCTTCGTCGTAGTTGCTTCTGCCTCGGGAAGTGTTTCTGGCGATGATGTTGCCGTCTCTTCGCTCGGGAGTTGCGGCGATTCGGTAGATTTCTCGGCTGCTTCGGTCGGCTGTTCCTCTTTAGGAATCACGACTTCGGTGGCGCTCGGTTCTTGTTCCAGTCTGGTCACAGCTTCTTCCGTTGGTTTCATTTCTTCCTCTATCGCTTTCTCGGTACTTGGCTGCTCGGTCGGCTGCTCCTTCTGCGGACCCTCGGTTTGTTCCTTCTCCGGTGCAGCTTCTTCGGTGACTGGTTGTTGTTCCTCTTCCTCTTTCGTGGCGGTCTCTTCCTCGGGCTGCATCTCTGATTTTGGAGAAGATGTTTCAGGCATTTCTTCAGGAATTGGTCTCTCCGAAAGTCCTTGAGTAGCCTCCTCCGCAGGTTTTGCAGTCGTTTCGTGGATCGTTTCTTCCGTCGTTTGACCTTCGATAGATTCCGTCGATTTAGCTCCCGGGCTGGGTTCCGTTGCGGAAGGAAGACCCTCTGTCACATATTCCTCCGAAACGGCAGTTTCCTTTTCAGTGGTTTCAAACTCTGGAGCTTTCTCTTCTTGTGGCGTTTCTTTCTCAAGCTTCTCCGTGGGCGATACGGTCTCCATGACACCTTGGGTACTGCTTTCTTCTTTGCCGTCTCCCGGGATCGCGTTGTCGAAACCTGGGAAGGTCTCGTCGGTCGTTTCAGGACCAGGAAGTTCCTTCTCGGCCTCCGTCACCGCCGATACCGTAGTCTCGAGAATTTCTTCCTCGGTGGATTGCTCCTCGCCTCTTGGTAGCGTTATAACTTCGTCTTCTTCTGTACAACGTAAAGCAGATTATATATAAATTCACTTCGATGATATAGACGGTCTAACTTTGATAAAAGATCGAGTTTCTTACCGCATTGATACGTGGTTGGGCAACATTTGCCTTCCGGCGGTGGCAAAGCGGTGCAGTTCTTTCCGTGCGTCTTCATGGGCGTTCCACAGTTCTGTACAGCGCAGGCAATGTCACCGCGGAAGCAGTAGCAGTGCTGGCAAGGCTGCTTCGAATAGATCAAATCACCATCCTCGTAAACCTTTCCTTCGTGGTAACATTGCGGCGTCGCTCCGGGTGCTACCGTCGTGGTCATGATCAGGCCAGGTGTTGGTTCAACCGTCGTTGCAAGGTCCTCGTCGTATTCTGTTTACAAATTCGAAAATTATATTGACACAATCGAGACGATTCTATCATGGAAATTGGAAACAATATTTTCAAAATATTATTCAAGGGCCAGGGCTTCTATGAAAGAGGCATTGTGAAGTTACCTTTAAAATGGCAACAAATTATAAAACAAAAAGTCTTGAAATAAACGTGAAAGTAATGGATCCCTAATAGACTCGAAGAGTGCACAATTTTTAATTTTGTCGTCGCGTCGCGATAGATCGTTCCGCGGTAACCCCACAGACAGTTGACGCTCCCCCCCTTTCCAGTGGACGAGTCAAACTTATGATTTAGTGCAGGCTGCATGATCAAAAGCGATGTTCACGAGGGACTCACCGCAATTGTATTTGACCGGACAACACACGCCGGGTTGATAAACTGGCCTGCATCCGGCTACTCGGAGAGTGCACTCCTGCATAACGCAAGTAGTCCTGTTCCTGATGCAATAACAGAGCTCGCAAGGATTTTGCGGATCGACCGGCAGTTGCGCGCCATCCGCGTAGAATCGTTCGTGAACGTTGCAGCCGTAATTGTCGTGGAAACCGACCGCCGTGGAGCCGGAAATCTCCGCCGGCGCGGTGGTCGTCGACGTCAACAGCTGCACCGGCACTTCCGGACAAGTGATGACGGGGCAGCATTGGTCCGGCCGTTTCTCCACGGTACAGTCCTGGCCGATCGCTTTCGTGAATGGGCAGACCCTCAGGTAGCACATCAGCATCCGATTGTGACACGTACAGTTCAGGCACGGTTCGTTCGTGACGATTCTGTCGCCCTCGTCGTAACGCTGGAAGTTGTAGTAGCATCCTGTCGAGGCTGCGATCGAGACAACGATTAGATTCTTAGACGGTGTAAAAGTGTAGAGTCAGATAAGGTGACTCTTTATTTCGTAGTTTTATTGCTTATGTAGACCATATCGCTACTTCTTATCGAGCGTCAAATAGGAATGTACTTTGTTTTATGTACGCAGTCTACAGGAAATGTGTTTTGGTAGCGTAACTACGAGACACGGTAATCAGGCGTTGAACGATTTTAATATTCATCGAAAGGATCGATTGAAAGCGGTGCCGTGCAAGAATGGTCGAAGCGGCACGTGCCATCTGTTCGGCTGCGATACAATTAACGTCACGTCCGTGGCGTGCGTGTACATCGATTAGGAGTAATAAAAGTCGGCGCACCGTAGGTACGTACCTCCATTGTATTCTGCAACTTGTGTGGTATCGTGGTCGTATACTGGCGCTGTAACAGAAAGCATACGAACGTTGTGAAAATATGTTTCCAGAAAGTTGGATAGTTGAAGAACATCGCAATGTCTGAGATCAATGCAAACTCGATAGTTGTCACGGAGGGTTCCACTCGAACCCACGCGATACAAAATCAGTTGGAGATCGTCTGCCATTGAAATAACGACAATACAAGCAATTGGCAGATTCGGATCGATTCGAGCCACCGTCTGCTCGAGCATTGAATTCCAAGGTTTCGCGGGTCGTGCAAGGCAGAGTAATCTCAGAAACACCAATTCCCATGAAATTCGTAGGGAAACGAGCCGTGTCTCTCCGTTGCATGTAGTTTATCATAGTAATTACCGGCGGGATGCGTTTGGCCGGAGGGTGAACCGGCTCCAACAACGGAATGAGTCAAAGCGTCATATGGCGCGAGCGTACGTGGGCGAATTCTCGTTAACACCCTCGCCCCAGTCGAACGAATTGTATGCCGAGTGCACATGGAATACAGAATTCTCTCTGGTTCTCACTTTCTCTCTCTGTTGACGGTTCTCTCTCTCTCGTTCTCTTTACCTACGACGACACGTTTGCGTAAAAACGTACCAGCGGGCGCGTGTAGAGCTCCATTCTGAGCTACGTTCCTTGCCTTACGCGCGGCGTTTTCGCAATTTCTTTGGAATTGAAGTGCCGCGCGCGGGACTCCGAGAGTTCGATTGTTCGTGAAAAACGCGACGCGCCACCCTTCGAGGATACGATCGTTCAGCCATTCTTCATACTCGCACAATAAGCCTCTCTGTTCGTCGATAGAACCTTGTCGCTTTTTCTCGTCCCTTCGTTCGCGTCGTCGCGTATCCTTTTGAAAATCTCCAAGTAGTTTCAATGTACGCTCGGTTTAAAAATATTTCCTCGTTCCACCGTCGACGCGTACTCGTCGCCGATGGTGAAAACTCAATATTTTAAAGTACATTGTTTCTTTTAGAGGAGAAACGTTAACCGCTCGCCTTGGATTTCGTTCAAAAATTGAATGCAACAGTTTGGCAGAATTTTTTAATAGCGCAATTGGGTTTTATCGAAGTTTAAAAGTCTAGTTTCTTGACCTTTGTTCTAGCAGATACGTGTCCGTAGAAGCAAGACGGGGCCTACGAATTCGTGAGTGAAACGTGCCGTCCTCTTTTGGAAAGCTTTACTTGTACTTTTTTCTTCGAAAACCGACCAGGAACTTCTTGAGATGCACGAGACGTTCGCGTACGCGGATACGTGCATCGCGAAGCGAAAGATTCGAATGTGCAGTATAGTCCTTTCATTGAATGCACCGAGCTTGGCAGATTTATTACGAGGCAACGAAGATGGTTTGCAAATATCTTTTTGTTGCTACTTATGATGAATTTCGGAGGGAGATCTCGTTCGTCTGGTCCCAAAATCTGAATCATCCTCTTTAAAAAATTCCGCCAATCGCAGACATCGGTTAAGCGAAGACAGTCGTGGAAGGAAGTAGTATGTTAATGGAGTTCTTACTCTATTAGAAAAATTTCGTAACTCTTCATTGTTTTCCGAGTAAATTTTATTCGAAGAAAATACGTCTGCACACATTTGCAGAGCGAATTAATCATCTGCGTAATGATCATCTTCTTGTGCGATTATTACTTATCTCTGGATTAGTTTATGAATCTATGAATTATGAATTTATGAATCATCCTGCGTATGTGTGCACACGTTGATTGCGCAACGATACAAGGAAAGACTAACGAAATGAGTAGATATTACAGGTATCCATAAATAATGTCGTTTTTGATAAACGACGCGGCACATAAATTTCTTCTTTAATCATTATTCCAAGTGGTTTTTGAATAATTGTCAATGATGTATCGTGTTATTCACTCGTTTCATTTCTTTATTTATTACATCTCTACAAGCTATCCACTTCGTTGTCGACTCGAGAGATTAAAATTTCATACTGCTTTTGTTTCTAGGAATACTTGTATGCGATCTGTTCTCACGAAAGGAGGTAAATCGGTTAATTCGTTCGCGGATCGTGTATTGTTCCGTATTCGAAACGTTCGTTGGGCGTCAATTAAATTCGATCGTATTTCTTGACTCGCGAAACAATACAATCATAATTAGGCTGCTCTCAAGACCAATGGAGACCGTCCTAACACCTTGGCTTCTAATATCGAGTCAGACTCGTAACTCATGTTAATAGTACGATGCTAGTGAGATGTGGAATTTAGAAATTCGCTACGATTAACTATGAAAATAGCCATCGCTGGAATTTTGAATCTAAAAAAATAGCGAAGAGGATTTCGTAGATACTATCGAAGTCTACATCGCGTAGGAAATTATTGTTGCCCGCGGAAGGATCGAAAGAGCGTTTCGGGCCCGTCTCGGAAGGACCTTTGAATCCGGAGACCCCATTAGCCGGGGCGATCGGAAGTCGATTCGCGACTCGAAGGCGCGAGGTTGAAATGCGCGGCGCGTGCGTTTCCGCAAGGTGCACCCGGCCAGCGCGGACATTCGTTTCCGTACGTGCGCTGCAGCGAGCCAAGGCATATTCGAGAATCAGCATTCCGCGGCGCGGAGCGTGCTGGCGGCGGCGACGGCGGCGGTTTCCAGCGAATTGAATTGTACTGGGAAGCACAGCGAGCTCCGTGAATGGAAGGCCCATCGTGTCTCGCGGGTCCCACGAATGGGTCCCAGCCGCGTGCCTCCACGTTACACGGGCCCGAGCACGTACCGTGTGTACATCGCTCCGCCGAGACGATTCTTGTCTTGCACGGTGCCTGAGCTAAATTATTGCGCCCGTTCGGTCGCCGCTGCCAACACAGGGCACCGGACGCTTTACCGAGGTGTCGGCGAGTCGCGCGTGATTACAATCTCGGACGACTCCGTGCACCGTCCGCCACGGCGATTAATGGCGTAAGCAAATTTACGCGAGTTACGCGACCCAACACCGGCTACCGGACCGATGCGCCTCGTTTTTTGCTCCGAAACCCGTTACATTGTCTGCCGACGCGATTATCGGCTTGCCTCCGAGCAACAGGTGCGAAGAAACGGTCCTTTTTTTTTTGCCAACGCGCGTCTCGATAAATTATTTGTTCCTTCCATTCGAACAGCACCCGTTAGCGATGGGATCGAGTCGCTCGCGAGTACGCTAAAACTCAGACCAGCTATCTACTGTACGTTCGCGAGAAGTTGGCTAGTACTATAGAGAGATGACTTGATGGCTAGGTCTCACATGCATTGTCATTATTGGCTGAATCGTTCACGACTACGATTCAACAGAGTAGGATAGGACAAGACTGAGGGACATCGGTGTAACCATGAATAGAACAAAAATGTATCTCTCGTGGTTATAGAGACCCTACTACCTTCTCCCCTTGCCCTTGTCTCGTTTAGTTTGTGGATGCCTAGACAACAAGTCATCTCTCTATAGTACTTCGCTAGTTTCCTCATTCCCACTTTCCTCGTTCCGGCCAATAGCGACAAACTCTAAACCCAGAGTGGAGATCCAGACACCGATCAGACCCGCATTCCTGTATCTAGTCAACTTCTCGCGGACGAAGAGTATCTACGTCTGAGAAAAGGAGCCGTTTCATGAACGATCGAATTGTCTTAGCTTCAAGCAACTACAGAGTGGCAAGTTTTCAGCACTCCTGGAACGAAATAAACAGGTAACGGGATCGTCGTCCAGGCGTCAGGAGGTCGCGTTTCCATTTCCGCTTGAGATATGCAAAGCTATCGACGAATTCCGTCCTTTGATCGCGGAATTCCAGAGGCGGTGATTAATCGGGGACAAACGGTCGGCCTCCGGAGGCTTATCGTTCTCAACAATAAACACGATCTTGCCTCGAGAGTTGGAAACCCCATTTGCATGAACGGTAATCGAGGTCAGATCTCGTGCATCTCGGAGACTCTCCGCAGTCATTATGTAAGTCAACGTTCTTCGATTACCTTGCTCGGTCTTCGTCCGTCTTGTCTTTGTTGCGTGGCGTTCCGTCTCTGTTTCTCGGTGCTCGGGCACGTACGCTGCAACATTACGGGCCCGGGGAGAGCAGAAGAGGAACGAGCCTGCCGGCGTGGAAAGGAGACAGGCGAGCGAGAGCAGAGGTATTGCGCGCGCGTTATGAAATCATCCCCGGCGGCCTTGCCTCGCGAAAGTTCATTACCATCAACCGCACACGCTCCGATGAGCACCTGGCTCTCTGCTCTTCGGCGCGTATCGCGTGCACGAAATTCTGCACTGCTAGTCCTCCAAGGTCGCGGTTACCCGGCACCGCAACCGTCGCTGAGGAATCCAACGCCGTGGCGACCGTGAAAAACGCTACGGAATAATTTCGTCTCCCGTGTCGGATGAAGAGGCTCGTTACGACGGAACGACGAAACCGTTCGGCCGCAAGAATGGATCTGCGGTCGTTCGTGCAACGTTATCGGGGCTCCGCGGTCGAATACTTCGGTGCTTAGATCCCGAGCTCTTGGACAATGGTCCCAGAATCCTCCTCTTCGTAGAAAAAGCCTGGACAACCGCGAAGACAGCTTTCGTATATTTTTTGAGAGATGTAATATTTGGAAAATGACCTCAAGGTGTAGAGAACAGTAACTGTGAATCGTGTTGTATCGTAAGGCATGAAGTGTTCTGTACGTCCACTTGATTACAATGTCCCTGTTTACGGTAGACTAAAGATCTTCTATTGTATTGTTGGTACAGGAATATCCGACACGTTAATAGGAGGAGCCTTGGCCCTCTTCTTGACATTATAAGAGATACGTACGCGGACCCGTTTCTTTTACCAAGAAACATTCTGAATTTAGGATCCAAGATTTCGGAATCATTTACCAGCGAACGTTAATGCGTTGTTAGGTTCGGCTACCGAGAGACTCCGTGCGTTGCTGCTTCATGGTTTAGCATTTCAATTTGTTACGACTGCGTTATTTGTCGATTTCTATACGACGTTGAGTATCCCTTTGTATGCCGTTTACAGTTTGGCGCGTCGTTCGTACACGCATTCACACTCTCCAGGTGACAATGATTGCAAAAGCGGCAAACGATGTCGTCAAGTTCTCATAATGGATCGGAACGTATTGCCGTTCACGGTCTTCCGACAGTCAATGTCAATGTCATTGGTATCGAGCGTGTTGCGCCGAGAGATGTTGACCGACCGGTTCTGGCGTAATATGCGAGCGTTCGCTTGCAGCGCCGGCACTGTTTCGAGGACAATCATAAATTAATTTCTATTTTCAATCGAGTTCATTGCCGCCCGCTACGTTAAACCGTTCAGCGTTGATGGATCGACAAAGGAAGATGGAGTTGCGGACAAGTTGCTTGACCAACTTCTAACGATAACTGTTATTTCACACGGGAATGATCGAACGATGGTATTACTGCACCTTTGTTGGAGGATTCAGAAATGATTTCAACGTTCGCCGCGTAACGAGTTTTCGTTCGAAGATTAAGCAACGGATGAGTAAATTTATTTATTAATTTTAAAAAGTAAAGCCTTCGATTCTATTTCATTAATGGAAAAATAGTGGATAATTTATTCTTAATTTATTCTAATGAATACTCCACCGTTGTCGTATACAAATTATGCGCTCCTAGATTAAACCGCTGACTACATTTCAGGAGAACCTGTGACGCGCCTCGACCTGGAAACACGGAGATTCTCGGTAAGAAGGGAGTCTCGAGAACACGGGAGGAATTAACACGATTATTTAATCCGTGTCACGGTGGAGTAGCACCCACACGTTCCGTTATACCCTTCGTCGGATGACCGCCGCTGACCTCGCCACCTCTGTAAGTAGTCTCGAAAGCGTAGAGAAGGACGAAATGAGGAAAGAACAGAGGGAACACGCGAGTCCTCCCGCGAAGTACCAGTTACAACGGGTCCTTTCTACATCCTTCTGGTTTAGCGAAGATCCCTCCTCTCCCGTCGTATCAACCGCTTTATCATTTATTCTCGTTTCACAGGTAGAAGCTACTTCCGTCATAAAACCGTATTCTCACGCCAGCGATAAGCAGTACCATTCGTAAATAGAGTACGGAAAGATAAATGTCTCTTGGAGCGTTGCACTGTAGCACGATAGGTAGGAGAAACAAGGCGGACAATCTTTGATGCTGCCAGCAAAATAGGAATTCGGAAATGACCATTTTAGGACATTGCCTTTCTTGTGCAAATTGTTATTGTATCGGAGGAGTCGATTCGGATCAATGGCCTGTCTTTTCGGGGCGTTTGTATTTTTGACGACCGTTATATAACGTGTATAGACGAAAAATAAGGCGTCAGGAAAACCGACTAATTATACGGGAATGTTTGTACAAGTACGCCCGGTGTGTACCTTTACTAATGGGACTCGACTGGGTTTACTTAACCACTCCTTTACGCGTCCCGAATTTTGAGCACCGTTCGAATTCACCGTTCCTGCGCGAATACTCGAGAACTGGGATAGCATTGGTTCATATAAAATTCAAAGGTATCGTTAGACCAGGTGGTAATTAATTATTGCGATAACGACGAATGAGTATCCTCAAACAAAGGCCGAGATTCTCCTCTCGTGCAAACAAATCGAGCATGTTTGCACAAGTGTATTCGACAACCAACCGATGTTTACCAAGCAAATGTGGACGATGCAAATGAAGCAAGAAGTTTGTTTAATTTCAGGTAATCAGTATCAATATTTACTATTATTGTTTTTCATATTATTTGTATTATTATTGTTATTACGTTTTTAGCAAACACGCAAGGATAGAAGAATGTTTCCCTGATTGTTCATCGTAAGATAGCTTCGTGTTGAGGACTCTTATCTAATGCTAGGCTTACGTCAACTTTCTTTATCCCGTTCTCGGAGCCAAACAATTCTTTACTATAGAGAAAGTATCTTAACCCGTTATGCAAATTTTATAGAACTTACAAAAGCGAAATTTATCGTTTGTAATTTATAGAAAACAATTAAGAAAGGACTCTTCGTTTTTTCTAAATTTGAATGGAACTACCTACTCTGGAACTGCGTGGGATAAGTTGGGATCTCAGAAGTTCCAGTTGATTCTTTCGCGGAAATCAATAACCCGAGGTTCGCGACAAGGAAGCGTGGGTTTTTACACGACGAGAATTCCAAAGAAGACGGAACACTCGTCCAACCTGCTAACTCATTCGACGTTTTCAGGAAGCATCGGAGGCTCGAACGCTATCGACTCGAGGCTGCCATGCTCCGTCAGCTCAACGACACTCGAAGATAACGACACTTTGGTTGGCATTAAGGCATAAATATGGAACGTCTCGGGGGGTCAGGTGCGGCGACATGGACCGTAAGTGGGCAACGGTGAGGTACGCGGTCAGTGACATCCCGTCTCTTCAGGGCCTACAGGTTTGACCAGAATTCACAGCATCACGTGGATGCAGGCAAGTACAGGGACCGTTATTCGTGCAGCTGTGTGCCTGCCGCGCGCATTTTTTCAATTCCTCTTCGCGTATCCGTTCGGCAAAAATTTCGAAATCTGCCGAATAAATCAATTTTCTGTCGACCTTCTTTCAGGTTCGCTCTTCTTCCGGGCGGAGCTCGATTATGAGAGCGGTCAACGAATTAACGCGATACTGATCATCGAATTCGACGTTCCTCGGTGTTCTTTTGCCCGAACGTTTTGCTTCGTCCTCGGGCAAGTCGTGTGTCGCGTACATGTGATCTCGTTTCAGCAACTGTTTTCTCCCGAGGTGGTAATAATTTCAGGTAAATCGTTCGACGACAAGAAACCGTTTGGTCGCGAAAGCAACGTGCTCGAGATGTTAACGAAACACGCGGGTTCTTGTCGTCTAGATACCCGCCAGCAAGACGACGATACGTCGAGAATATCGATCTTTTCTCCGAATGCAAACGTCTTTCAAACGCGCCGATCGGCCTCGAAGAAAACCACCGGCCGTCAGGACGGATCGATGGGATCGATCTCTCGACTCTCGAAAGGGAAACTGGCGCAAAAAGGACGCCTGGATACGCGCCGCGAGGGACAGGATCACCTAGCTGGTTGAAAAAAGGAACGAACGAAGGCACGTCGAGAAGAATTCGAACCGTTCCCGTCCATTTATCCACACCTGCTGTTCGTTGAATTAGTCACGGCCAATTGCCGTTGGGGTGGGGGGTACGGCAAAAACGACGCATCTCCAATGAGCTCTCATTGACGATGCAACGTTTTTGCACGTCGCTGCGTTCGAGGTAACACGCTGTTCCGAGAATGATACTCGCCCCGTGTGCGCCGCCGGGAAACAGGATCGATTCCGAGTTGGCGTTGATGGATCGTGAAAAGAGGATGACTGAGATCCCGAGGGCAATTGCGAGACTTAATATCTGCCTACTTGGATGTTTCATCGATCTGGGAATTAAGCAGATCGCCGTTTACGCGCAACTCCTCGATAAGGGTTGTAAACAGCTTGCTCGCGGACTTTTTAACCGGTAATTTTATTCTAGATATCAACTTTTTTCTATTTAAAATCGTGCGTGATCGAACGATGTTTATTTGACAGACGACAGCGACTCCCAGATAAATCTACAAAGTTCACTTGGTTTTATTCGAGGGAGGAGTTTGTCTTTCAGAAATTTTGTTCTCAGATTTGGATTCCCGTGAGAGGATTCTGTAGCAGCGTTATCGTTCGTTTCCCACGAACTTGACCCCGAGATTCGCGTGACGCAATCGCCACGCAGGTGAAAGTAGTCCCAGCCTTTTCGAATGATTTCCGTCGCGGCCACGGCAATGGCTAATCGGTCGTCGATCGAACCCCCGTCGATCGGACGCGTTCGATCGATCGTCGATCGCGAGAGGCGTAGGGTGAGTCGCAGGTAATTCGAAACCGGCTCGACGTAAACGGAAGAGGCTCGTACGATACCTCGAAGACCGTGGCTCGTGATGGAGAAGACGGCTTCGGGGCGAGCTGCGAGTCGTCGAGGAACGAATATGGTGTGCCAGGTCCATGGGAAAGCACCTTAGGCCCCGACGTGGCCGCCGATGCCAGAGGTGAGCATTATGAGGCAAGACTATTCCGCTCCAGACGCCAACGGAGGACAAGGATAGGTTCGACGTCCTGACGGGACGTGGCTCATTCGGATATCGTGGCCAGTTTCGGAAAGGTTGCGACGCGATCGATCCTCGCGAGCAAAGGTTTGATTTTATACACAGGATGAGTCATCTAATACGATCACCTTAAATTACTTGGAAGTTACGCATTGTGTGAAAAATAGTTGCGCGTGGAAGATGCATTACATATCGTGGGATCGCTCTAAATAAGGATAAGTTATACTTTTGTATATGGTATTCGATCGGATCGAATCCGAGTCAGAAACCGAAATGTATTCGTCAGCGTCGAGGCATTGTAATGCAACGGCGGTCGCGGTATTGTTTTTTCGAGACGAATGTACGGGGAACGAGTAGTCTAGCCGAAAGCAACGTTCTTCCTCGTCGGAGCTACTTTCTCATGCTATCTCACGTACACCTGTTCGCTGCCAAATGAGTTACGTTTCGACGCGTCGAGCGTGTTAGAGGCGTTGAAGCGGGACGAAGTCGAAGATAAAAGAACCGCGGAGCGAGTTCAGGTTCCTGCGCTTAGAGAAACTTATCGACGGATTCGCCGTAGAACTCACCAGAATTAGATTGCGATGCCAGTAGAACAATCAGACAGAATATAATCCCGGGTCGACAAGGCCCGACGTTCAAGGCCGACATGTCGGCGCTCTTCTTCCGTTTCCTGAAATCACGAAAAATCTGCTGTTAGTTGGTTTCAATAAATCTGCGAATTATCGCGATTAGAAATTTTTTTTTCGCCGAAAAATTTCAGCACCTATTCGAATTCTTTTCTCCAAAGTGAGTAGGATTTCGGGGGTATGTCTATTCACCAAAAATGATTGTAATTGATCCCCTTAGCTAAAAATAATTTTTTTGGAACGATTTAAAATTTTTCAATTTTGACGAATTTGTCCACCTTCTATTATACAATAGTAGTGTAAACGCAAGGATCCTTCTGTAAAGTTTCTATCTTTTTTATTAGACTAAAAGATGCATTCAAACATATGACCTAGATAGGTATCACGCAGGATCGTTCCTAAGAAATGAATCGACGCTGTTTCAGTATCAAAGAGTAATCTATTTCTATTTTTAACGTCGCTTTCCGCGAACTTGTAAAGTGTAACAAGGCATTGTAGACTCTCCTCTGAATGTTAAGGTTGCATTTATCCTGTCACGTGGCATTCTAGTGTAACTGTCGGGTTGACAGCTGGACGTGCGGTAACTACGGTCTGGAAGCCAGCCAATCGCATACCTTCGCACTTTGACTGGCTGGTTCTCGCGATATTTCTACACGGTATGCAGATCAGTGCATCGTGCGAATAAGCACGCGTATTTCGGTGTCGGACGAGACGTGAAAATCTGCGGACACGGGCTCGCGTTGGCTCGTACACGGGGCGAAACAGACTGGACATCGCTAAATGAGTGTCGTAGGGGTTCGCGCAAATTTACGAGGCGTGGGTGCGTGGGAATACGTGTTCCCGGTCGTACGATTTCCATTTCCTCGGGCTCCGTTCGTGTCGAAAACCCTTCTTTTTTAGCGTGTTCGTCCCCTACGAGTCAATGTTACTCAAAGCGTGGTCGAAGGTTGGGATTACCAGACATATGTTTGTTAGAGCTTGTACAATTGTTCAAGGTGCGTCGATCAGAGGCTTCGAAAAGTTTGAAACGACGTTCGAAGGTTCGGTGAACGTTGGGAATTTGAGCTGGAGGTGGACGAACCGCCAAAGTGGACAAGAGTCGCGTGGAGAACGAATTACGTATGTTGGGAACGAAGCTCATAGATCTATCGGAAAGAGGGGTCTAAGGGAGAAGCGAGACGAAAAAGAAAAAAGGATGAATCGACAGGAAGAGGGAAGGCGGACTTTGGTGAAGCCGGCGCATACCAGTTGCGACAGCGGCTTAATACAAAGGGCTACCGAGATAAAAGAGCGTGGGTAGTTTCTCTTGTACCCGTCTACTTCATCTTTTCCCCGTCGTCTACCATGCTTCCTCCACTGGGCGTCCTCATTGTGATCAAGTGGAAGAAACGCGACTCGTGACACCTAAGCTCGCGTTCGCTCGCTCGTTAACGACGCTGTAAAGTACGCGTCGGAGGATCGTAACGAATCTCACGGTGCTGGATGAATTTCTTCCTTCGGTGTTTTCACAGTGCGGAACAAACCGCCTGGCTAGAGTGAATCCCGGTTCGAGAATCGGCGAAACCTACGTGTCATTGCGTATTCAGGATACGGCCCATTGAACCGAGGAATTCGGTGAATGGGTATGAACGCGCATTGATAAGTGCGCACACCTCTACGGGGTACTCAAGTGCTCGTGAAGAGTACCAGGTACTCTACGCCCTGCAGAGATAGAATTCGCGGGGAATGAAGGTCAAGCGTCTGGAATGTGACGCTCCGCTGGTTTTGTATCTTCCACCGTCAAGCGACATCACCGATGAAAAATATTTATGTGTTTCCCAGGCGAGAACCATTCGGAGTTTTTCAATCCGTCGCGTTAGACGCGATTCAGAACGCGCGCAGGAAGCGCATTTGTCACCTTTCTTCGACACTCTCGACAATTTCAAAATTAAAATTCAGGTTCGAGTTCGAACGGTGCATATTTCAGAAATGGATAGAGAATTCAGAGTCTTTAGTTTTAGTATCCAATAATGCATACCGGAAGGAATTAAATCCTGTGAATCCAGGTGTATCCTAACTGTAAGACGTGCCAGTTACGAATTACATAAGGCCTATGAGAGTCGATCGAGTATGAGAAAAGATCGGAACGATCTTGTTTCCAGGTTTGACCCAGAAAGATACTAAACTTGGGGTACTTCCTGAGAGGTTCGTTCAATTCCAGGTAGCATGGAGTACTCTGTAACACGATCGAGCGTTCCCGTTAATGTCGTGCAATTAAAAGGGCCGGCACTTTCTGCCCGCGCCTATTTCCTTTGAAATTCAATGAAATTCAGGCCCCATTGTCCTATTATCGCATTCCCGGGGCGAGCGTACGTGTATTGCGCGTCGAACACAGACGCCAACGCAGACGCCGTTACGTTGACAAGCTGGAAACGACACACCCACGTGGCGACGCGTCGTGAATGAAAATGCAAGCGCGCGCGTCGTTTTAGCGGAGTCGAGGCCGAGCGTCGGCCACGCTTCTCCCGGTCCCCTTTTTCCTCTGTCTTTCCCTTTCCACGGGATCGGCATCCGCGTCGATTCACCCTGATTCGTCGCGAGTCGCGTTACTTTCCTTCTTGCAGGACCCGGTTGTGGCTAGCACTCGTCGAACCGCGACTAATTTCACTTGCGCTCTCGATACGGCCGTGCCGCAACCTAAAGGCCGATTTCACGAAGCGATACGGATCACTCGCGAACGATCACCGCCGCTGAAGGTGTAATGACGCGTGATGAACGAAACCGGTGATACCAATGGCTGACTGGCAAGACTTCCCTTCCAGCCATCTACGAGGAATCTAGCAATTTCAGGAATTGTAATAAAATAGATCGAAATACGGATCTTACGAACGGTGCATGAATAATGCACGTCGGTTAATTTTGTATTTATGCGTCCGTTCTAATATCAATATGTTTATTTACAGATCGTGAACCAGGGACGAGGAAGCTTTGGTAGCGCGTAGACATTTCTGGACGACTTAAGAACGGTGAAAGTTGAGCTGCTTTTTAGATTATTCGTATTTGAAATCGTGAGTACCATGGAATATTGCGTTGCTGGCCTTTGTTAATCAACGGTTCTTCGTAATAGGTTGTTTCAGCGAATGAAGTTATTCCCTCGCGAAGGGCAACGGTACACGGATACGAAGGGCACGTGTAATCCGTGGCAAGTACGTGTAGTCAGGTAAATCGGTGACTAACAACGATATTTATTAGCCGATCGAGGGGCACGACAGTTAGAAACCGCAGTTAGAAACAACAGGCTGATAACGATCGACGAGCCTCTCCTATCCCGGATAACAGCTGTTCGTGCGATAATTGCGGCCACGTAGGAGTTTGACTCGGGTATAAGGTGCAGGTAGGTGCACCCACAGGTCCAGCGAAATGGGGTGCTGGTGCCAGAGGTTCCGTTAGAGCCCGGAGGCTGCGTTCGTTCACCATTACCGTGGAACGCGGAATATGATTACCTTCACCTGGGAACAGACTCCTCGTATCCCCTCCGGTCAAGAAGACCGTGGGCGAAGTTTCTACCGCGGGTCTCGGTGTCCCGGTTCGTCGTTGATACCCAACGATGTTCCGCGATTAGCTAAAGACGCGCCCGTTCCCTGCCCTCTGCCTCGCGTCTCACGATTTCCGATGTTACGGGCCGTGAGATCGGGATCTCGCGGTCGGGGCTGAAATCTGCATTAACGACAAACGAGCCAATACGCCGGAGCGGATCGAGAGCCCAGTTTACGCGTGCAGCTAATTCGATTTCGCGTTGCGTGTTATGCAAATCACCGATTCGAGAGACAGCTTGACTTGCGTGCGTGCACGACGAACACCAACGGCCGTCCTCGGAACTGGTCTCAGGCCGAGAAATGTTGCGCGATAAAACGTCCCCCGAGCGTTCGTATCTACTAATTGGAACACATCCAATAATTCAACGGACCGGATCGTCCGTGAGAGCGTTCCGTTTTATCGCCTTCCGTTCGCGTTTCATGCTAATCGAAGATCCCGCGCGCCTTTGATCCGCGCGTTCACCGAGACGGTGACCATTTTCGCCGACCTCTTATCGCGCACCGACGTGTAACGGTTGGTATTTCATATAAAGCGCTTAAACAGCTCGACCGGGGGACGGTGACACGACGCGAAGCGGTTACTTCCGACATGCTGATACACCGACCGAGCATCCTACCGATCGTCCAATGACTAACGGGGCCTGTCCGCCTCTCCTAAAAGGCAGAATGTCCCGTCGACGCGATGCTTCATCTTAACCGGTGGACGAACGCTCGATAATTGACAGGCTGCTTGGACCTATCTTAAATCCCGCCACACGCTAACTGGATGCCCACCTTTGGTGGTGCCTCTAATCTAATCATTCTCAACCATTACCAGGAATTGCGATATTCAAATATTCCAAACCTTCCTATCGAAAATTATTCTCAAAAATAAAGGATCGTCCTCACGACCGTTCCGTTAGCTCAAAAAGGACCACCGCTCCGATGCGTCCTGTTTCCTACGGTCAGTCGATTAGTCCGCAATTATTCATTTCGATAAAAAGTAATTGCTTCCAAAAGTGTTTTCGGATAAGGTCATGGACGGGTTCCTCCGGTCCGAGTGTCATACTTCGTCAAGGATCGCCTCTGTTAGCTTAACGGGACATTCGTTACGAAACGGAGTTAAGTTTAGAGCGAAGGTCAGTTCTTTTAACGTAAAAGCTTTTTCGTGTTCGACGCGGGGGGAAGTTTTATGAAGTCACGAGACGCGTCTGTGTTCGCAGATGCAAGAATCGTCGGTGGAGAGAGAGACCAAGGGCAAGAGCGGGCTGCGTCGTGATCTGCACGTTTCAGTTTATGGGCGCAAACGGGTTCAAAGATCACGGGATCGCCGCGGAGGTGGACACACTCGCAGCCCGGTAAATGACGTTATGCAAATTGCAACGCGAATCGTAAAGTCCCGTGATTCTGCTACCATTAGTCGGCTCAGCCGGCTGATACCTTTAACCTTCTTCGTCCTGGGAACTATCCGCGTTATTATTTATGAGAAT